CGGGCCGCACGGCCCGGGAGGGGGCCGGGAGACAGTGGGGTACCATTAAAGTTTTTATTTCTCGTGTCTGTGCGAGCAGGTGCCTGGGGCTGGGGGCTGGCTTTATTAGGGCTCCCCCCCTCTCGCGGGGGCAGTCCATCCCAAGGGATTCGGCTAATTAGAGCCCGATGTCGGACCCCGAGGCTGGGGCCGAATTGGGGTCTCAGGTTGGCGGAGGGCAGGGGACAGCACTGCATTAAATTGGGTGGACTTGGGGAGGGGGCACGGAGACAAAAGCAGCAGGTGGGGTGGCCGGCGAGCAGGCAGCTCCTTTACCACCCGAGGTGCCAAAGGGGGATCCTTAAAGTGTCCCACAGCCTTCTTTAATTAAGATCTGGGGGATCGGAGGCTCCTTTCCTTTGCCTTTACTTTTGGGGGCACCGGACTGCAATTGTGATGCTTTGTGGGCAAACCTAACTTGAGGATGGGCCGGGGGTCTCCGTTCCTCCCCACCACAAGCGGATTGCAGTCGCGGCTCTCGGCTCCCGTGCGGGATTCCCCGGAGGAGCAGCGCCGGGGCCAGGGAGGGGCGCGATTTCCTCTCCCAACTCGCCCCCTCTCCGCCCACCCCGCGGCCGCCACTTTGGGGAGGGCAGGGGAGGAAGTGGAGGCCGGGTGGCTCGTCTCCGCTCCCCTCCCCCCGCGCAGTTTATAACCCGTCCATTGTGCGCCGCTGCCCCGTGTCTCCCTCCAGCCGCGACCATGCCCAGGAAGAAGGCGGCGGCGGCGGCCTGGGAGGAGCCGAGCTCGGGCAACGGCACGGCCCGCGCCGGGCCCAGGAAGCGCGGCGGCCCGGCGGGCAGGAAGCGCGAGCGGCCCGAGCGCTGCAGTAGCAGCAGCGGCGGCGGCAGCAGCGGCGACGAGGACGGCCTGGAGCTCGACGGGGCCCCCGGCGGGGGCAAGCGCCCGGCGCGGCCGGCGGCGGCGGGCAAGGCTGGCGGCGCGGCCGTGGTCATCACCGAGCCCGAGCACACCAAGGAGCGCGTC